ACAAAGTTCTCCTCCCCCTTACCTTAAAATGTAGATTTATCAAGGAGTGGTTGTGTAAAAGAAATCTCTTACTTCACTCTCTGTCTCTCTTTCTTTCTTCTCCTTTTATTTTTTTCTCTCTTCACTTACGTCTCTCTGTTGCTCTATTACCGTGAGTTTTGATGTCTCCAATTTTTTACCACAAGTGAACCTATTTATAGCACTCCAAGTAATGATTACTTGGTTAATATGTAATGGTAAGTTCATTCAATTATACTTCTGTTGGTACCTATAGTTAGAATTAGGTAATATTGAAATTGCTTTGAATTCCACGGGATAAGGTGTTGAGGCTTAAGGGGATAAGGTGCTGAGGCTTATCTATGCACTTCTTATCCGTGCATTTATTGCACATTTTTTTTTTGAAAATTAAGAATAAATATTTTTCCAAGAAAAGAAAAAATGGTGATCCGCATATATTTATACGTATCTTCGTATCATAATTCAAATATTTAAAAATAAAAATTAAATTCACCAATATATATATATATTAATAGTTTATAATTAAAATATCATTCTAAAATAATACATCATAAGCAAGATTTTGAATCTTAACTAAATATTATCTATTTTCATTTTAATTTCTGAAAATTTTAACAATAAAATTAAAATTATAAAATATCATGCTTAAAAAAATTAATTACTATTTTAATAATAATATAATAATATTATATTTAAATTTTAGGATGTTACAATTATACATCAAAACAGTACAAGACTACAAGCTTTGTCTTGTTGAATGAGTCCAATAACATGAATATAAAAGGTGAAGGGGCAAAATAACAGAACCAAAATACGAATTATTATTTGCGAATATGATTATTTAAGATTTAGAACAAGGTCATGCCACAGGAAATAACATAAAGGGTTGAATAATTGAAACGGAAGCTGTCAAATTTTGGTGTGTAATAAAATAAAATAATGTAAGAGGATCCTTCTGTTTGAGCCCCTTCATATGATGCATTTCGATGCCATAACTTAAACTTCCAAACAGAAATACACAAAGAAGAAGAGGAGGTGCGAAAAGCAGAAACTGACTGAAGAAGAAATGAAAGAAAAAGTGTATGTCCTGTTTGGAATGACGAAAAAAATGTTACTTTATGGTGTGTACCAATTTTATTTTATTTATATTCCTAAAGGTTTAGGAAGTGAAAAAAAAAATTAAAAAAAAATAGGGAAGATTTTTTTTAAAGGGACACAATAGATGAAATTTTAAAAGACTTTAAAATATAAAAAAGTTATGATATAAAAACAAATTTGACAAGATTTAATGAAGACTAGCAAGATTTTTATTTTAAGAATGTGTCAAAATTTGATGGTATTTGAAAAAAATATTTAATCTCATAATTAACATAAAAATTAGACATCTTACATTAACATGTTATGAGAATATAATATCTATTTAATAAGAAAATTTATTGTGAAAAAATATACAATAAAAGACTAATATAAGTGAAACTTTTTATCGTCAACAAAATTAGTCCACCCCTATCCTAAAAAAAACTCATGCCAAAAGGCCCAAAACTAAACTTATTTTTTATGTTGAATATAATATGTTTACAATGTGATATGTTGAATTATAATTACTTTACTTAAGCTCAACAAGGAGTCCTACGAAGGAAAGAAACAACCAGTTAATTACTAAAAGAGCATTTCGAATATTTAATTACTTAAAGAAAATTCTTAACTTTATCGAGAAATGATAGTAATATATTCTCTTAAACACTCTCTATATTCTCTTTACTATTAAATAATTTTTATTGAAAATTATAAATTTTAGTGTGATTTATTTCTAATTAAATTGTTTTACTCCTGATTTAAAAGTGAGTCCCAACATATTTATAATTTCTAATGAATTTCAAACTATAGTAAAGATATATTAAGATGAAAGTGTTCTTAGCATTTTCTAACTTCATTTTGTGAACTAGGTACCACTGATAAAATTAGTCAATATCTATCCTTAACAAACTTGTAAATTTATTTTATTTATTGTGTTAAATTAAAAATGATATTTTTTACACTAATTTATCGTGTGAAAATAAAAAAGATAATTAACCAGAATATTTATTTTATTTATAGTGTTAAATTTTCTACAAATTCAAATATTCAATACTGCAATATTTTTTTTGGAGAATAAAAGTGAATTAAAAGAGAGAAGAAAAGTGAAAAATATAAATGAATTAAACCTAGGGTAGTGCACTAGCAAGCTCACCGTTTCCCCTAAACCCTTTCCTCACGGCCTCAGCACTGCGTTCCTCTCTCATCCGTTCACTTTCTCGATCCCTCTTCTCACAAACAGTGAAGAAGGTCGTTCCAAGTTTTTTCATTTCTCGTAAATTTTTCATTTTTTTCCCTTCTTTCTAATTTGTGTGGTTGCACTAAGTTCACTTCTACTACTGATTTTGTTTGTTGTGTTGTGGTTTCTTACTTTGCTTATTCTCTACATGAGCAGAACTATCGTCACTGTTCATCAATGGAATCACCTGCCAACAAAAAGGAGCAAGTGCAACCCACACCTGAAGACCCTGAGAAGAAAAAGAAAAAGGAAGAGAAGGTTTTTCAATCATTATCATAATCACCATCTTGTCCTTTTTTGGCTTAATTAACAATTGGGATTTTTTTTCTTTTTGCATTAATGGGTTTAAGAAAAAAACATATTTTTAACCCCTTTTTTTAGTTCCCATTGGTTTATTAATCTGATGCTAAGTTCTCTTTTTAATAATTTGGGTGGAATAATACCATGCAATGGTTGCTAATTTTTGTTTTCTCATGTCAGGCAAGAGAGAAGCAATTGAAGAAAGAGAAGTTTCTGCTTAAACAAGCTCAGGTGATTGGAGTTCTTCATTTCCCTGCTGTGCAATTGCAAGTTTGCAACATTTGGTTTGATTTTTCTATGTTTTTTTTTTCTTCCTAATGTTCAGAATTTCCACTTTTATTTTTTGTTTTATTCCTTTTGGTTCCGGCAGCAGCAAGCACAGCAATCATCCAATGCTTCTAAAAAGAGTGAAAAGAAAGTTGTGAAGCGGGGTGGAGAGGATGAGAATCCTGAGGATTATGTTGATCCTGAGACTCCATTGGGTGACAAGAAGCGTATGGCTCGGCAGATGGCAAAACAGTATAGTCCAACTGCCGTGGAGAAATCGTGGGTGTTAATTCCATCTTTATGCTCGTTGTACTTTAAATTTATCAAAAGATTAACTTTTATCGTTGTTATATTTTAGGTGGTATGAGTGGTGGGAGAAATCAAGTTTTTTTGTTGCAGATGCTAACAGCTCCAAACCACCTTTTGTTATCGTAAGTGTCTTGTTTAACTTTTAAAAGTTAGTTTTGGATACTATGTGAAGTTGGTTTTTGCTTCAATTTTTCTGCCATGGAATGAATTAAAGACAATTTTGTATGTTCACTTAGTGCATGTTTGAATTCGCGTCAATAATCCACGTTTTGACGAATTTGATGCAGAAGCAAGATATGATAGCTTCTTGTTTTCACGTTTTTTACATGAGTCGAGTCCAGTAAACGTGAATCCAAACACACGCTTAGAGGATGTAATTGATCGGACATTTACAAATGGAGTGTGAAGTAACCTTTTCCTATGTAGTGGAAGTGATCCCTCTCAGTTTGAGGTTCTTCTGAAAGTTTAAAATTTAAATCATTGGTCCACATCTTAAAAGTGTTTTTATCTTACTAGTCTAAGAAGTTTCCCAAAATTCAATAGTATTCACATTGCTCTTTGAAGGTATCAGATGAAATTCTAAAAGTAGGTTCTCAAATATTTTGCTATTGATTAATGTTAGTCTTTTCCGGATTTGAAATAAAATATAGTCTTTTGATCCTGCTTTAATCTTGAAAAGATTTATGCTATGCTGTTATTTTTTGGCAGTTACACTGCTTGAGTAAAGTGGCTGCACAAACAAGAAATTCTAAGATATATAAAATTTGCAATTTTGCTCTTATTTTTTGTATATCAAGAATCTGTTTATGCTGTGTTTTAGGTTTTGCCCCCTCCAAATGTGACTGGTGCTCTCCATATAGGTCATGCTCTAACAGCTGCAATAGAGGTATCTTATATACCCCATTTTCACTGTTTAGTTTAGTTGTTCAAAACAGTTAATCTCAATGTGATTTATTGCCTGCAGGACACAATGATTCGATGGCGTAGAATGTCTGGATACAATGCCTTGTGGGTGCCTGGAATGGATCATGCTGGGATTGCTACACAGGTTGTATTCCAAAATTGAGACGATTTCATGTAGTTCGTAACTGTTTTGTAATTTATCATTTGATGGGGATGTTGTGGTTGGGTGTTGGAGGGAGGGCCAGTTATTTGGCCTAGGCTTACATAATGATGAAAGGAACTTATTTTAGAAAAAAGGATAGTTATTTTGCTTTTTGCATTTGGATTCAATTTTTAAGAATTATTTCTATTAAAAATCATTTGTTCAATTGCCTATGCACATTTAATTTCATGCTATGATCTATAATTTAAATAGCTGTTGCAAACTGTGTGATAGCGTCAAAATTTAGCTTCTGAGAAACAATGAGTCTTTTTATCTTTTGATTTTGCCAAATATCTTTCTGTCCCAAATTTGTGGCTAGAAACAAATTACAGTCTACACAGTTAAGGGCTGGATAGGCAGCATTTAGCAATTTACACATTTTTACCCCTCATATCATCATTGGCTTTAAATGGTACTGTAAACCTATTTCAATTATTACTTATGGTGCTAATGTAACAATAAAATTAAAATTATAAAATATCATGCTTAAAAAAATTAATTACTATTTTAATAATAATATAATAATATTATATTTAAATTTTAGGATGTTACAATTATACATCAAAACAGTACAAGACTACAAGCTTTGTCTTGTTGAATGAGTCCAATAACATGCTACCCTGCTTCTCTTATGACCCAATTGTCAATAATTTACAGTTCCCACTCTTTATGATGAATTTCAAAACAAGGAAATATTTCTTACACATCGTTAATTTGTTAGTACAAGCCAAAATAGCTTTTGCATGTGCCTCCTAGTAACTTCAGCATTTAAGAAAGTTGATTGTTAACACATTAGGCACATAGTTCATGTAAATTTAGTAGTTAATCGTCCCTAAATGGCTAAGCACTTGTTTTGCAAAAGGTTTTCTGCCTGAGTGCCCTTATTTATGAAATTAATAACCCAATTTTATTGGCATATATATTGGACTAAAGGCTGTCTTATATCTTTAGTTTGAGATTAGGAGTACAGGACCTATTATACACTTTCTAATCCAGAAAACCTAAATGTGTGATGTAGGTGAAAAGGGTCTACTGCTGAATACTGAATAGGCTATATAAATTTTAGGGTATACTTTTACTCATGCAGTTTCACACTTTCTCAGAGTACACTTCTATAGTGTTTTGTTTTGTTTCTCCTCGTGTCAAACTGTGACTAAAGAAAAAGCACAAGGGGGTTTAGTGATATAAAAATAAAGGTGTAAGGGAATGACACACTGAACGGTAGAGGGGATCATTTGAGAGTGTGAAAGGATAGTCTTATTTACCCTAAATTTTAAAATGACTTGAATTTAAAATACGTGATCATGTGAGGCAATATCATGGTGCCTTTTAAAGAAATAACCTGCTTGTCTTGCGACAGTTATCGATGACTAATGGACAACCCTGACCTTATATGAAAACTAAGATCTGGATGTTTTGCCTTAGTTAAGAACGAGGATTTGAGAGAGGACTCCAGTTTATAATGTATTATGGAAAAGTACAGATTGAGAGTATTTCTCAAATTTGTAAATAATATTTTTCAAAATTGAAACTGCTATCCTTGACTGATGCCTTGTACATATGAATTCAATAACTTTTCTTTTCTGAGCTTTGTTTGATATTCTCAGCTTACTACTAAAGAAGTGGAGACAGATCATGTGCGCAGTCGATCCCCACGCTTCCTTTGTGGGTTGGTAACTGAGGAAGATTCAACTATCGTTATCAACACTCCTGTGTCAAACACTCCTTTCCTATGGAAAAAGCCACAAGACAAAGGTCGATATGCAGAATCTTTCCGAGACCTATTATCCAAGACAAATGCAAGCAAAAGTGCAAATAATCAAATGGCAGAAACTCCAAATTCTGACTCTCAGACTTTAGGTCAGCCTTGCTAACTATGACATGGTACCAATATGATTAGTTGACATAGTTTCTCTGAGAATTCTTATAATCTTATTAACTCTTCAATTTCTGCAGCAATTGGTGCTGGTGAGAATGTGGGTTTGGAAGTTGTTTCTGGGGAAGCTTTATCTTCTGTGAAGCAGCCCAAAAGGCCAAAACTGAATAGTGGCAGCAAGAAAAAAACTGTAGAAAAACCAGATCTGGTATGCAAAGATGATGATGATGTGTCAACAATGACTCCCGGGACTGATGATGAAAAGTCAGATTTTGGGAATATACCTGAAGTCTTCCCTCCCAAAATGGCAGCATTGCACAGAGTGAGATGGAACATGAACAAAGGTAGTGAAAAATGGCTGTGCTTTGGAGGAGCTAGTGGACTTGTACGATGCCAGGAGATTGTTTACTCTCATATTGATAAGAAATTGGCCTTGAAGAGATGACAGTTTCTTATCCATTAAATCACAGTAGGGAAAAAATAGTCAATATGTAACATCTTTTATTCATTCAAAAAAGTAAAAGGACTTGGCTTTTTTAGCAAGTCCACCTGTGTAAATTTAATTTGTAATATTTGACAATAGTGAATAAAACCACCACCTAGGACAATGGCTGCTCATGTCATATAATAAGAGAAAGGTTTATGTTCCTGTACCTTCAGTCATATGGAAGATGGAAGATTGGTCTCATTTGACAAGAACCATTTATTTACTGTTGAAAATGTTTTATATATCGAAAGACATAAAAAAAATTGTTCAACATTAGCCAATCTTGTGATATTGGATATACTATGTCTTTAAACTAAGATGAATGCATAATCAAATGAATTGGTTAGACTATACTTTTTACTATTGTTAGGAAGAATAACCTTTATGAAGTTAATTTTGACGATTTAAGTAGATAAAATGTAATTTATTTGGTATTCAAAGAAGATGAAAGATAGATTTGATACAAAAAACTTAACGATGTAATTTAAAAAATATTTCAAAATTATATAAAAAAAATGTTTAGTTAAAGGACTACCTAAGAGTTTTTCACACTCATTTTCTATGTGAAACTTGTTAGAAAGGAAAATAAACAAAATTTTCATCCTTTAAATCAAAAAAAGTTGTTTCTACTTCAAAAATCTTTAGACTTGTTGCATACCATCTATTTTGGGCCTACTAGAATATTAAGTCTAGTTGGTAAAAAATATAAATTCATCATTGTTGATGACTATTTTATACACATATAGGTATACTTCACTACTTACAAGTATGAGTCTTTTAATTTCTTTGAAATATTCTGTAAAAGAGTTCAATATAAGAAAGATTTTTGTATCTCTATCATCAAAAGTGATCATGAGACAATATTTAAAAACTCCCAGTTTAAAATTGTTTGCGAGAAAAGTTGGGTTTTGCACGACTTCTCTTCACCAAAAATAACCCCAACAGAATAAAGTCGTTGAAAGAAAAAATAAAATCCTTCAAGTAATGACAAAAACTCTTTGTGAAATTTCTTGCCCTATGTAATGTCTTAAATTTCATATACAATATTCTCAATTTTATTATTATTATACTTTTTTCAAAATAGTAGTCTAAATTTTTAGTTATTATACAATATATATATATATATATATATATATAATAGAGAATAAGTACAATATTTTATATAATTACAATACATTAAATTTTTATTACAAAATTTTCAGTAAAATAAAATAGAATTATATAATATTTATTCCTAATTTTATAATTATTATGATCTAATTAATAACATAGAATCATATAATATTGATTCACAATTTTATTATTATTATCTTATTTTTTTAAAATAAGATTTTTAAAGTTTAGTTATCATATTTAAAATAAATAGATAAATACAAGTGTTTTATTTTTATAAAATTTTATAGGCTTAATTACACTTTTGGCATTCCTAATTTAGTGTAGGAGCAATTTTGGTTCTCATAATTTGAATTGCTTAATTTTGGTCCATAAATTTCAATAATGGGCAATTTTAATAGACGTTAATGATATGGATTTTATGCTAAATAAACATTAATTATATATTATTTAATTTCTTTTCTGTTTGTAGTTCAGGTTGTGTGTTAATGTTGCAACTGGAATGGCCCGTTCTCCAAGCAGAACGGGCCGCTCTGCTTGCACGCGTAGTCTGTTAATTTTGAAAGTGGAACGTCTAAGCAAAATGGCCCGTTTTGATCCATTCGTCATGTGTGTATTTTTGCATTCGGAACGGCCCGTTCTAAAATGAGAACAGGCCGTTCTGCAAGTGCTGCAAGGAGAACGGACCGTTCTGGATCCAGTTTTACACCATGCTTAGATCCAAAACGGAAAAAAATTTTAAAATTCACATTATTAACGTCTGTTAAATTTTGGCTGATAAATTGTTTGTGGGACTAAAATTGCCCATTATTTAAATTTATGGACCAAAATTAAGCAATTCAAATTATGAGGACCAAAATTATTCCTACACTAAATTAGGAGGACCAAAAGTGCAATTAAGCCAATTTTATATTTTTCGTAAACTAAATATATATATGTATGATATCCAATTATATTATAAATATTTATAATATTTTATTATTATAATTACATACAAAATAACTTATTATAATTTATATAATGCTATAGACATATAAAATGGAATGGTTCAATGGTTTATGTAGTTATGCATAGGAACTACAAGTTCCAAGTCACAAGTTCAAATGTAATGAAAAGATCGGTAAGGAATTGATGATGTGGCATGATGAAAATATAATGTGAAATGTAATAGATAATTACTCACAGTAGATACGGTTGCATAGAGCAGTAGATAATGTATGGTATAAATGTGCGGTAGAAATTAAGTAGATTACGTGTATGGAGAACTTTATCTTTTTAAAATTATATATGTTATTATATTTATTTATTTATGTTAGATTTTATGTATATTTATTTATTGAGGTGTCTCTAACCTCATTTATTTGCTTAATCTATGATAATTTTTACTCTTAATAATTAATGAGATGTTTCTAGTTTATGTTGTTTAATTATTTTATGAAGTTTATCACTATCATTTACTTAATTAATATTCTTTAATACACTCCATTTCTGTAAAATTTATTTTATTAAAGCTTAAATAATGAAAAATACTCAAATTTATTTGGTGTAATTATTTTTATATTAATATTAACTATAATATAGTTTTATTAAAATTTTCTTAAACTTGTCTTGTTGTTATTTCTTCATGCATTTGTAAAGATAAATATTATTCTATGGTCAAAAGAATGAAAGTTTGAATTAAATTATAGTTGGAGGTTTGACCTTGGAATTTAAATGAGTGAAAATTTAAGGTGAAAAATCCTTTTGCTAGTTGATATTATGATAATGTTTATTTATCCTGATTAGTCACTACAAGTATAATTCAAACTTTTATGTCAAGAATCATTAATATATTTTCTAGTAATAACTATTGCTATGCATGTTATGTAATTACTAATATTTATTTGAAAATTGTTCTCACTCCTTATATTTCTTATTTAAATATTTAATTAAATTATATAAAAAAATAGATGGACCTACCAACACTTCTAGACCCTTTCTCTTCTATCATATCCGCGGTATTTCTAGGAACCACTTGGTCTGTAGATCTTGTTCGATAATGGTCCTCTACTAGCTAGGGACAATGATATTTCCAATATTCATTGGTACACCAGTATAGACTACTTCTCTGCTATATTATTTTATTCTCATTTCATTTCTCACTCATCTGCATGAAATGAACCAGATAACTCCATTTATTAAAGAGATGCTGGAGAAATACATATTTTAATTAGATTTATTTTAATGTTCACGAGAAACTTATCACAACAATCAATAGAAGTGAAATTGATGATGACCTAATTACAATAATCAAGAGAATATATTGAATTGTGAAAGAGTGAATGATGATATAAAGAAAATGAAAATATCGTACAATGTTTCTGATTAGGACAATGGCCTGCGATTGCTTCATCCTTTTATGCCTTTTGTTACGGAAGAATTATGGCAGCGCCTTCCTTCACCTAGGGAATGTAAGAGAGTAGAATCTATCATGATATGTGATTATCCAATAACATTCCCTAAGGACTTGGACATCTTACGCCCGTGTGCATCACGAATCATTGGATGCAAATAAATCTGCATAGGATTGTTAGTACATTCATGAGAAGGTCATTGATCAAAATTTTTAAGGTATACATCAGGGCTTTGTTAGCTTTCCTTCAATTATGTTTTAATTGTTTTCTGTTTTTTTCCATAGGATCTCTTGTATCTTTTTGCATCTACCTCTGTCTTAATGAATTTCTTTTATCAAAAAACAAGAATAAAAAAAATCTTGGGCATGCACGACCAAATTCATACTTCACATGTGAGAGCAAGTACTACATGCATAATTCATTACGCCCAAACGGATAAAGTTCTCATAAAATGATCTGCACGAGATAGTAACCTCACCTTTCCAAAAGGCACATCACCACCCAACTTCAATCCCAACATGACCATACGGGCAACCCAGAAAAAGAGGATATCATGGCCAGTTTCCAGAACAGAAGTTGGATAGAATGTCTTCAGGTCCTGTGTGTCATCAGGCCATCCCAGCACAGATAATGGGAACAGACCAGAAGAAAACCATGTATCAAGAACATCAGGATCCTGGCTTAAATGAAACTTCTTTCCGTTATACCTCTGGCTAGCCTCTTTTTGGGCTTCCTCTTCAGTTCTTGCCACTACCCAATGATCATTATAAGCACCAAATTCCCGCCGCACGTCATCCTCTAAAGTGACATACCATGCAGGTATCTGGTGACCCCACCATAGCTGTCGTGAAATGCACCAATCACGTATGTTTTCTAGCCATCTGTAAAGCTTTTTACCTTGAGTAAGACATGATTATATCATAGGCTTATAAGAACAATAAAGTCACATGACAAGAGAATTATATAGAGATCAAGCCAACTATCCAAGTTCCAATCACAACATTGTGCCATAAATGTAATGTAAATCTAACCGTTGATTCCATTTACAATAACAACATCCAAAAATTTGCCTTGTTTTTCCAATACTTGCTTGTGTAAAAATTGGAAGGAGTTGAAATTATAGAATTCAGGTAGAGAAGTAGGAAAAGAGAGAACTTCAAATAATGGAATATAATCTTGAGATTTGAGATATGGGTATGTGTTACAAAATACTATCTATGAAGCATGTACTCTAACCCGAACACTCGACAAGACAAACACACTAACACTGCTAACATCTAAAATGTACATCGGGACACCGTAAAAGAGAGAATCTCTAATGAAATGAAATTTGAGAAATATAACAAAATATCTAAATTAATGGTATATTCACCTTTTTAAACCAAGTTTTGAAGTCTTTTATTATAATAATATGCCTCGCAAAATAAAAGGTAAGGACTAAGGCATATTTTTTAATATTTTAGATTGTGTTTTTTGCTAACTTCTCTAAAAAGTTAAAAGATGAATATATTCTTTTAATAATATTAGTGTGTCCATTTATATGGAAGTGTTGGCTGAAGTCCCCAAGCCAACAAAAAATAATTTTTCAATTGAACACCTATCAAGAAGTGTCTGACATATGTTAAACAAGTGTCGGGGAGGTGTCGGTGTCGGTGTCGAAAACATGTCCAACACCACAACTTCAATCAAAAGAGGTGCCTATGCTAAAACTAGACCCTTAAGCTTATTAAAAGAGAAAACAAATCATGAAACATGGAAACCACTTCTAAGAGATCATCTCTGTTTTTTGCTAACTTCTCTAAAAAGTTAAAAGATGAATATATTCTTTTAATAATATTAGTGTGTCCATTTATATGGAAGTGTTGGCTGAAGTCCCCAAGCCAACAAAAAATAATTTTTCAATTGAACACCTATCAAGAAGTGTCTGACATATGTTAAACAAGTGTCGGGGAGGTGTCGGTGTCGGTGTCGAAAACATGTCCAACACCACAACTTCAATCAAAAGAGGTGCCTATGCTAAAACTAGACCCTTAAGCTTATTAAAAGAGAAAACAAATCATGAAACATGGAAACCACTTCTAAGAGATCATCTCAGATACTCAAGACAATTCTTAGGTACAATAATGATTTTGAGATATTTTCTACATATTCCAGCAGGAAAAAAGTGACAATGAATTAAGTGGATTGTATTTTGCAACACTTCATCTGCCTCAGTTTAGCCTTAAGCTAGAGCTCTGGCAAGCACAGCCAAACTCAATCTCAAAACATTTCTTGCTATTCATTACAAAGAAAATGGTGTACTAATTTACACAAAATTTAGAGATGCTAAAGGGTCTCGGTGAAGTCCTTTCATATACTTTAAATACTCACCATTTCAGAGGAATGCTCTGCAGGATGAATTTTACAATTGCTTATTACAAGAATTTGCTAAAAGCAAACGAAGATATAAGTACCTCTTCCAATCAGCCAAATATTGTTTTGGAACAATCTCTAGCCTTTTGTTTTCCTCATCCACAGCAGCTTGAAGAGCTTGATTTGCCAAATCATTGCAATTGACATACCATTGGGGCTTTATCATGGGCTCCACAACATCATTGCTTCTTGAACAAACACCAAGGCGCATCTCATTGTTCTCAGATCCTCTATAAAGGCCCTATACAAAAGAAGAAAACAAATGAAACAGTAAATAGCCAAAATTATGTGTTTCATCACAGAGACAAATTATTACTAAGATAGAGATGAATACTAGTATAAGATACTAACCCTTGCAGGACTTTATAAGGCAATGATAGCTAAAAGAAGATCATACGCAGCATATTAAAAATAACGATATAAATTATAATCCCTTTCGTCACCAGAGAAGCAATCATTAGTCAGGTTCCACAAAAATACAAGTGTACTTTCCAACAAAAGTATTGTCATCCAACATTTGTTATTTCTCATGAAACATAATATTATAACAATACCTTCTTCTGTAATGCTTCTGTTACTGCCTCTCGAGCTTTAAACCGCGGCATGCCCACAAAATCAGAGCCACCATCGGAATTTATTTTCCCATCATCTGTGAAAACATTAATGAACTCAAGGCTGTGACGTTTTCCCACCTCAAAATCATTTGGATCGTGGGCAGGTGTAATCTGCGTGGAACAAAGAAAGTACCATAATATGTATAATATCACTTAAAAAAGAACTTCAACAGAACTTTGAGTCATACATGTAGAGAATACCTTAACAGCACCTGTCCCAAACTTTGGATCAACAAGAATGGCATCACAAATTATAGGAAGTTTTCTGCCATTAAATGGATGAATAGCATGTTTTCCATGAAAATGGCTATATCTGTTATCATTAGGATGTACGGCAATAGCAGTGTCACCAAGCATAGTTTCAATCCTAGTTGTGGCAACAACAATTTCACCTAGGTTCCCTTCCAAGGGGTATGCAAACTTTGTTAAAACTCCAAATTCCACTGGTTTGTCATATCCTGGAACCTTTAGTAGACTCCTTTCTTTTATATCAATATAATCCACCTGCACACAGAAAGCAGTGACATTACACAAACAATATTGATACAACAGTTGAAACAGCCAAGAACAAGCCTTGCATACCTCAATATCAGATATTGCAGTTCGCTATTATTTTATTCTCATTTCATTTCTCACTCATCTGCATGAAATGAACCAGATAACTCCATTTATTAAAGAGATGCTGGAGAAATACATATTTTAATTAAATTTATTTTATTGTATGTTTGATAAGATATTTGAATAGTTTAAGTTTATTATCAGTTTATAAATAAATTTGATTAAAATAATAACAAAATAGATATATGATGTTTCCAATAGTTTCCAATAATAACAAAATAGATATATGATGTTTCCAATAATAACAAAATTTATATTTAAAAATAATAGTAATTGTTATAATTTAAATAAAATATAATTTAATTTATTCTATGGTAATTCTAATAGTTTCGTCTTGTTCGATAATGGTCCTCTACTAGCTAGGGGCAATGATATTTCCAATATTCATTGGTACACCAGTATGGACTACTTCTCTGCTATATTATTTTATTCTCATTTCATCTCTCACTCATCTGCATGAAATGAACCAGATAACTCCATTTATTAAAGAGATGCTGGAGAAATACATATTTTAATTAAATTTATTTTATTGTATGTTTGATAAGATATTTGAATAGTTTAAGTTTGTTATCAGTTTATAAATAAATTTGATTAAAATAATAACTTCTTTAGCATGAGAGCTTATTTTAAAATTAAGTTTGTAACTTAATTGATTGATGTAGTTTATATCTAAGAGTTCTTAGATTTTTTTTTTAATTCTCGTTAACTTACTTAAATTAATTTTAACCTTTTTTAATTTAAAAGCTATTATTTTCATATGTTATTCTTTCACTATTATTATTAAATAAGTAAGATATGTTATTTTACATTAATCAAATAGTTTATCAATTAATTTTATCAAATATTTTTAATTTAATCAATTAATTTATAAATTTGTAACTCTTTACCCCTAACTTATATAAATTTTTAATTTATAATATATGTTATCATTTTCGAATTAAGACTTATTTTATATTGTAAAGAAATTTATTTGATCAAAATGTTAGTTTGGACACATAAATTTACTTGCACGTGTTATGTCAGTTTAACTAATAGCTAAATAGTGTGGAGTTTTTAATATACAACCATATTAATTAATTATTATTTTTATTATTATAATAATTTTATAAACTTAAAAATAATTATCCTTTACAAATATACATGTTATTAAAAAAAAAAAACAAGGATTTATGTTATAACTTTATACATCCCTTCTCATTTCTTGCACCCTATTGAAAGAAAAATAAACAAATAAAAAGGAGCATTGGTGTGAAGGGTTAGTATAGAACGATAATTGGATAGATACAGAATCATAGGAATTGGGAAACCGACTGTGCAAGCATGGATAACGTTGTGCCTGTTCCTTTTTGTGATGGCTACTCATTCATTGTATATATTCTAAGAAAAATCATACAGCTTCCGAATTCTTTGTTTCGAAAAACATTCCGATATATTAAAATATTAATTTAAATTATAAAATATTAAATTAAATAATTATTTTATAATAAATTTATTAAAAAATGTTAATATTTTAACTTTCAGATGATGATTCGGAAGAAGGATTCGGAAGATATATCTTCACTCATATTATAAATATAAATATAAATATTTAGGATTTAGTGTAAAAATTTCATACGGTCAAGTTGGTTTCGTCGGTGTAATTTACACAAGTCAAATATTTAGATTAAATTAGTCTCGATACTTATTTATACTTTTAACCGTCAACTTTTTTCTAACTTGATTTATTTTAGACTATTAGATTAAATTGGCTGGATTAAAAAATATATTTTTTAAAAATCAAATTTATTTTTTGAGTAAAAAATAAAAATCATAATAATAATTAATTAATATTATATATTATTGTAAAATATTTAGTTATTTTTGTGTAGTCATGAAACACCTATCACTATAAGTTATATCATAAAGAAAAGAAAATTTCTTATAAAATAAAGTGATATCTTATAATTTTGTGGTTTGAGTGGTGAATGTGAGTCATTATCATTATTTTGTAAACACAAGTACGAACGTGACTGTTTTGTTGTCTTCCTTAACAAACGAAACAAAGATGATGAGTCATAGAGTCAAACCATCAAGGGGGTAATGAGAGTGACAAAACTCTCACATCTGTTAATCATAACTCTAAGTTTGTAACCACAACTTTATAAACAAATATAAAAAAGTGAAAGACTATTATTATTGTAGTATTATTATATTTTATCCTATTATTTATATAACACAATACAAATTAATGTTAATTTAGATTATTTCAATTATTAGTTTAACGTGTCAGTCTGTAAGGTTGTAGGTCAGTCTGACTTGAACCAATTTCTCATGTCAGACTTAGCAGGCAAAGGCAAAATGACTTACCTTAAGAATAAGTTTGCTTAGACTTACTCTACTCAATAATTCATGTTTTACATCAAATTTCAACCGCTAAATTAAAATTTTTTAATATATAAATCAAGTCTGCAAAATTTTAAATTTTAAAAATTATTTGATATTTTGTTTCAATAATTCAAATTAACATATAAAATATTTTTATGATTATTTATCAATTTGAATTAACGAAATAGGATATCAAATGGTTTTCAAACTTTAAAAAATGGTTAATTTTATCTATACATTAACAATTTTTAATTTAACATTGTATAATTAAAATTTAATGTAAAATATGAATTATTGAATGAATAAATTTAAGTATACTTACTCTTGTTAAATTTCTCCTTAAATATATATTGACACATACACCAGAGATGATACCTCCAAGTCTACTAAACATGAAATTAATGACATATTGTAGATTCTCAAACTAAACATTATTATCCACTTAATATATGATCTAGCTTCTCAATTTTTTAAAAATATATTAGGTTCTTAAATTTTAAAAATTCATAATTTTTTTTGCTCAAATAAATTTCATAATTGAGTTATTTGTCTTTTATATTTTTTCTAAATGAGTCTATATGATTAATTATGATAAAATTAAATAGTTACGAAAGTTATAATTTGTGCAATTTTGTTGAGTTACAAAAAATTGTAAAAATTTTAAGGACTTAATTACAAGTTCTTTATTATTTTTTTAAAAAAAATTAAGAACCTAATAATGTATTAAGTTTATATTTATTTATAAATGTGTCAGTATCTAAAAAATTTAAATCATAAAATTATTTCAAAAAAATAATATTTTTACATATAGCAATTTATTTAATAATTTAACATTTTCATAAATTAGAAAAAAAAATCAAATAAAATATTAAATTTAATTATGTACATTTAGTAATCAATTCGTATTAATGACTATTATATGAATATTTTATATTTTTTATTATCATGTGCTTATTTGTCAAACAAATTCATTATGAAATAATGGAAAACATATATATCATCTCATAAAAACAAAAGATACATCATAAAGTAAAAAAAAAAAAAAAAAATAAATAAATGCATAGGTTTATACTCATTCATGAGATACATTCTACGATTCGTGCTTTTGTACTAATTTACAATATAAATGTTCTTCCCTTACCTTATGTTGAAGTGATATTTGCATGTTTTTGCAAATGTTCGATTTCTTTTTCATTCTTTTATGATAGGATTTAGAACAGATATTTGATTTTAATTGGGTTAGGCGAATTCGGATCAAACACGGTGATGAATCCAAATTGATTCAACTAAAAAATGGAATCAATTCGACTGATTTTGAGTCAGTTCAGATTTAAATATGCAAAATTTGAAGGCATGTATATCGAGACTTATAAATTGAATATGAAAGTGAATTAAACACTTATCTATGATTATTTTCTTTTTTAATAATGTTTAGTTTTCAATCAATTTGTTTCGCATTCAAAATTTCAACTCCTAACTTTTTCTTCTTTTTTTTTCTCCTCATTTTTTCAGTTGATCCAATGTTTTTATTTAGTGTACCACAATATTATTCATTTCATTGTTGGCCATTTAATTTTAAAGTTTTCTCACTTATTTGTTCTTATTTTAAGGTGTTTTTTTTTTTTTGTTGGCAAAGAAGATTATATAAGAAAGAGGATAACATGTGCAAAGGATACCCAACCCTTACATAGTCATGTAAGAGTTAATGTAAAAATAAAAAAAATAATAAAAAAAGACCTCAACTAGAACCATAATATTCTCTTCCACCACACATAAATTCACCCCGCATAAAAAATCAAAGCATGCAAAAAAAGAACATAAGAAACCAGAGTCAACGAATAAAGCACTGCAACATCCTAATATACTCCGATACCACCTCGTAGAAACCAAAACTTGCATTATGCCAAATGTATTGTTTTACTTATCCAATTTGATCATATCATTTTTGTAGCTTGCAGGATGCGTCAAAATTCAAGTTGATGAGTGTGATTTAGGAGACACAACCCTAGATGTAGGAACCACTGGTTAAAGGAACACTACATAAGAGGTGATGATTTATTTTCAGCCAACTTCATGCCATGAAGAGAATGTCTTTTGCCATATTGTTGTTGTCAAAGTGAATTCCTCTAAAGAGACCTTTATTTCTACAGTTCCAAATGCACCATGATGTAGCACATCATACCACCTCCACTTCTCGGAATCTATTTTTGAACCCAAGACATTAGAAATCTGATTAAAGTGTTGTATCGAGCATTGAGGCAAGGCTGCATATTTTAATCCATACAAATAGTTTTTTCACACGTAGTGATCAATCACATTACATGTAAAAGGGATATGAGACAGAGATTCTATTTGAGAGTGAAAAAATGAGCATAACATTTCCTCTAAGCTAAACTCCACATTCGTCCTTGTTAAATTACTTGTTGTTGGTAACCCATTATGGAAAACCCTCCACAAGAAAACTGTAGCCTTGGGTGGAACTTTGAGTTGGCAAATCTATTCAAAATTCCCATTTACTTGACTTCCAACCTACAAACTAAACTATGTAAAATCCTATATGATGTGCTGATTGAAAAGTATCCAGTGGGATTTGTCAGCCAATGCCAATTGTCTCCTTTACCCTCTTGCAAATTCATAGTTGATAATACTTGTTGGGGAATTTCCTTTTGCTTGTTTTCCCACTTGAACCAAGGTCTACTTTACTTGAGGTCCCATACCCAATTGTCTCCTTCCCAAGATCTCATATTTGCTATACGTTCGTTTTTTCTATTTAGAGGTTAGACACAATCTTGGAACGGTCATTAAACAATCATCTCTTATCCAATTATTCGTCCAAAATCTAATTTGAGCCTCTTTTCGAGTCTCCATTCCAACTGATTATTAAACCATCTTAATCGGTTGTTTCCACCACAAACTTTTAGCAAATCTCTCCACCATATTGAGGAACTATTATTGGTACCCCTACACTAAATTTTTGTCACCCTCCATATTTGAAATCTAGGACTTTTTCTCTATAGACTTTTTGATAGATGGAACATTTTCCACCTCCATTTTGCCATAAGGGCATCATTGAAACAAGTAATGTCTTTAATCCCCGAAACTTCATGACTCTTGGGGAGACATATTTTGTCCCAACTCACTCATGAAATTTTATGTTTTCCTTTTTCACAACCCCACAAAAACCTATTTTGTATACTTAATTACAATCTGTTTAACCACCAATTTAGGCATTTTGTAAAAGGACATAAAGAATAAAAATAACGATGAAAGCACTAAATTAATAAGATAAATTCTTCCCGCCATTAACGACAACTTGTATTTCCACAAATACAATTTTTTTCTTGAACTTACAAATGATTGGTTGTCATGTTATTTCTCTTCTAGGATTAGCTCCAATGGGAATTCTCAAATATGTAAAAAAATAGCTTAAACAATTTGCAGTTCAATAAAAAGGCATAACTCACTAAAGTCTTCCTCTCCACTCCAACCCCGTCGAACCTACTTTTGGCGAAGTTAACCTTGAGTCCTGAAATCAATTCAAAACATATGAGAATACTCTTTATGATGACCACATTGCTAAGTTTCTCCTTTCCTAATAAAATTGTGTCATTCGCATATTGTAGTATGCTAACTTTAACTTGGTTCTTTCCTACTATGAGACCTTCAAACATGTTTTCGGAAATCGTTGTCCTCATCATAACAATAAGATCTTCAACAACAACAATGAATAACAGCGGTGCTATGGGATCATCCTATTTAAAGCCCTTTTGTAACTTAAATTCATATTTGATGGGTTCTCGTTCACTAAGACTTATACATGCCTGATCTCCAAACATGCTTTAATCCAATCTATCCATTTATTACAAAATCCTAGCTTTTCCATCATATAAAATAAGAAATTCCAACATACCAAGTCATAGGCTTTTTTGAAATAAACCTTAAAGATAAGAAAATTCTTCTTATTCCTTTTTGTATCATCTATAACCTCATTTGTTACTAGCACACTATCAAGTTCATTTTTGCCTCCCAATAACGCACTGTGATTAATAACTACTGGTAATACCCTTTTAACCTCTCTGCTTGGTTTTTTGCTGGAATCTTGTGCATGCAACTCATTATAAGTATAGGTCTATAATCACCCAATGGTTGTGTATCATCGACTTTTAGGATGAGAGTAAAAAATGTTGAGTTAGAGTCTCTTGGAAGCTTATCATTTAAATGGAATTCCTTTATGAATCTTATTATATCTCCTTCATAGTCCTAAAAGGCCATTAAAAATTTGAAGTTAAATCCATTTGGGCCTAGGCTCTTTGAGCTGCCACATTCCCAAATAGCTTCCTTAATCTTTGATTCCTCAAATTTTGCTATCAATTTAATATTATCCTTTGCTGGTATATGATTAAAGACTATCTCATCCAACTTAAGCATTTCCCAATCTTGTTCAAATAAATTTTGTTGAAAAATTGTTTTACCTCCTTCTTAACTTCTTTTGGAACTTCCACCCAAGATCCATCAATATATAGGCCTTTGATTGAACTTTTCTTTCTTTTCCAATTTACCATCAGGTGGAAGAATTTAATGTTCAAGTACCTCTTCAACAACTACTTTGATCACGATTTTTGAGATAAGAGGGATTCTTTCCTTATCACCACACTCCAAAAATTTTCCTGTAACTCCTTTCCTAGCTATATTTCTTCCTTCGTCGGCCCTGTTATTTTCTCCTTTTTGTTCAAATTGTTCATTTCTTCTGCAATTTTCTGATGTAGATTGTGCAAGTTTCTAAAGTGATCTTTGTTCCACACTTTTCATTTTTTCTTAAGTTCCTTAAATTTCTCCTTTAATACAAAGCCCCCCAACCATGAATGTCAATATCCCTTCATGTTTGTCCTACAAATCTCTGAAAATCTTTGTCTTGAAACCAAGAATCCAAGGTCCTAAAAGGCTTCAAACCCTAGTCTGCTATATATTGTGTTTTTAAGCAGGATAGGACAATGATTTATTAAGTTTCTATTGAGGATGAATTGAGTACTTTTAGGCCATGCATTTACAAGGTGTTCTTTCCTTGTCGTCCAATGTTCTTTGAGTATCATATTCTCTATCAAAATATTTTGGTCTACCCTCTTATTAGAAGAATATATTAATAATTAATTTTATCTTTTCATCTTAACATTTTAAGATTAAATATTAAGATTTTTTTTATTGTGATTTGTGACTAAATTTAAGAGCTAAGAACCTATTTATTATTAAAATCTTTTCTAAATCTTTTGAAAAAAATATTTATTTAGATTTTTTAATTTTTATGATACATATATATATATATATATTTATATT